TCTTGAATGCAAAGCAAGGAAACAATTAACCAGATGGTAGTTTTAGGACTCCGGGAGGCAGGATTTTGCTTATTCTTTATTTTCTGTTAAAAACAATGTTAGCCAGCATTTAGAGATTGCTCATGCTAGTCTCAGCTCTTGGCAACTCCTTTTTTTCTCTGGGAAGCTTTGGGGTCTTCTTACGGAGATGGCAGAGGATTTTCCTGCAGTCTATAGACCTGCGGTGATTGTTTCAAAAAGAAGAGTTGTTAGTCCACTTTTATTATGTCCCCTGGGACAGGACACGTTGTATTCTTTAGGAAAGTAAGGGAAAACAACCAGCCAGCATAATTTCTGGATAGAAGTCTACCAGAGGCACCTTGCCACAAACTGAACAGGGTTTTCAGAGAAATGTGCATACAGACAAGCACTGCTTACCTTTAAGCTGCTGTAGGTGCAGGTAACAACTGATGGGTGTTCAGCTAGAGACTGTCAAAGCAGAGGGTTTGGGGAAACCAGACAGAAGAGAGGGGTCCGCTGGGAAGAATGGTGAAGGAGGACCAGGAAGAAGAGCATTTACCAGGCAGGGGAGGGAGGGTACTGAGTTCAGCATATTCAGGGACGTGGTGCAGCCAGGGCTGCAAGCTGGTTCAGACAGATTAAGTCATGGCCAACAAAGCAAAGTTGGAACAGACCCGAATTTTTAAACTTTAAATTTAAAAGTGGAATGATAACCGAAATGAGAAAAATTACTGGTCTAAGTCCTGCATGGACTTAGAAAAATTAAGAGCCCCTTCAGAAGCCTCACGCACGAGACCAGTTACTGCCAGGACTGTAGCGTACAACACAAGTTCAAAGCTGTGTAGTCAGCTGCTATCTTTGAGCCGGATACCGGTGCTCCTAACTCTGCCAATCAAGAGATTTGGTTGCTCTGCACCACACATGCTGCCTTTGTTTTGTAAGAGGAAGATTAAATCATGGAACGTAATTTTTCCTAGTCTGGTTATCATTCTGGTTCACCCACATTTTCCAGATTTGGGTCCTTTCTGGTTTTGTTTTGTCAGCGATGACTGAACTGGCAAGAACCAATTAGAAGCCCTGGGTTGTAGCACACAATTTTAGAGGGTAGAAGGGTTCTGTGGTGAGCTAAGACCTGTTAATGGCCTGTTTTAAGTAAAAACCACTAATGTATTTCACCACTAAGTTGTAGTCTCTCAGTTGGAAATAAGTCTTTGAATACATGAAAGTATTTTCTTGCTCTTACTGTTTCAGAATCTTTTGAAAGGAAGGAATGATGTTGAATTCATTACTCTTTTGATGTTTATTGAGTTGGTCTGTTGTTAAATTCTTTTGAACTTGGACTTTGTACTTACTGATTTGAGAAATTTTCTTTTTACCATTTCT